TTTAACTTTTTGCTTTCTGTCAGACTTCCTCATAATAACTTTTAATTTCAGCAAAGTGGGTCCAGCATTTAAATTTACAGTGGAAAGTCTGCTCTGTTTCTACACAAAGATTCACAAGCAGTTGTGATGAACTCCTGTCCAAAGTTTTTGTAACAACAGTCAGCTTGGACCTGGTCAAATCTGTATACATAATAGGAGAGCATCCATTTAAACAGCAAAGATGTGAAAATATTCATTTTTGTGTGGTAAGAATATTTTCAAAGCTAACAGGGAATTTTTTATTACATGATTGATTTTTTTTTCTCATGTTATTATAATATTAGTGTACATGAATCCAAACAAAACTGAAAACATGAAGGTTTTGACCTTATCAACATTATAGTTCCCTCTCTTATTCTGTCTTTGATAACATCATCGTTGTATATCTAATACAATTTTTTAAGAAATTCTATGACGAATTTTGAAATTTCAAAGCTAAGTTTTGATTTGAAAAATAGAACACTAGAAATCAGTATTTCTTGAGAAATACTGATTTTGAGTTTCAACAAACTCAATGATTTTTTAACTGGGGGTAAAATTAATCTGTTTTTCTCAGAAGAAGACTCAAGAAAAATCCAGTAATATGATCTATACCTTACTGTTGTTAGAAATGTATCTATAATTGAAAACTTTCAAGATAATTTTTTCTTTTTATGCCTTGATAGCTGGTCCTATAGAGCTATCATTAAGTCCTTTTTCAGGTCTGGTGGTCTTTTATCCAAGCATGGCAAGAGGCACAATAACTAAACTAAAAAATGCTTTTTCTTTTATTTTTTTTTTCAATTGAGCACTCATCCATCCATCTCCCTTTTTAAAATCCACTCTGTCCAGCTTTACAATGCTGCAGTGGATTTGTATGATTACATTCCTGTGGTTGGACTTCCTAGAGCAGAGACAAATTGGGGCAGCTGTATACTATGTTCTCAAATCAATGGGTATCCTCTTTCTTTTATGCAAAAATATTAAGAGAAAAAATCCTGGAAAGATATTAATTGCCAGAAGCACTTGGTAGACTCTCATTTTGAGTTCATGTATGTGACTTTAGTACATGGAGAAACCAGCTTCATCCTGTGCACACTGTCTGCTTTTGTGTCTTTGGGAACTATTTCTGACTGAAGAATGTGTTCTTAGAGTACATTTTCAGAGGCCTTTATTGTACAAATCTGGGTACAGCTTTCTACTGCAGCCATTTTCAGAGAAAACCACAAAACAGATTTGATAAAACCAGTCCTGCAGAAATTCGCTTACGTTTTTCAATCTACCATTCTGATTAAAAATTAAAATTGCAAAAAAAAAAAGAGGATGATTTCTCACTTCAAATAAAAATGATTTTTTTCCCTATAACCTCAATCTGAGTTTTAAGCCAAAAGTTCTAAGATAATCCAATACAGAAATAATATATTATGCCAGATCAAATGAAGCATTAAACTGATCCAAGACCTTTTTTTTTTACTTCTCAATCAGTCAAATCTTCCTGGGTCAATTTACTCAAGATTCAACTCAAATTATTTTATTAATTTTCTTGCATTGACAGCAAACAAACAGAAGTGAACCAGAAATTCACATAACTTACAGCTTTAGTTGAAAATGAACTTAAGATATAGGGAGTTTGGTCAAGAGAGTGAATGACCTCCAGTCCCAGATAATATTCCTTCTTGGCTATCTTCCCCAAAAGTTTTGATTTTGCCTTCACAGTCTCAGTTTTACTCCCCTTGTGTTTATTATTTGATAAAGTGCTAGCAAATGTACTTGTAGATCAGCAACACCCCAAAGATTATTTTCTTGCTGTGCTAGTTGGATTCTTAAGCTGCTTGTGGTTTATTTTGATGCTCAAGTAGATTTTTATCCTACTGCCTGTCTGGGACATGTCACTGCTAGAACTCAAGTGCCAGAAGTGTGTAAAGATGAGGCTAAAGCATAATTTTCATTGTGGAGTTTTATCTGATGATCTCCTCCTGGTTACTCTTATTATTTCTGGACACAAATCTAACCAAATTAATTACTGATTCAACAATCCAATGTTTGCTGTATGTAACATGCACTTAACTTATCTGCATGGCTTTCACGTTAAGCATAAAATCCAAATATTAAAGGCGTTTCCCTTGACAGGTTTCCTGATAAGGAGAAGCAGCCTTGGCACACAGCAGTTCTTGTGTGGATGCCAGAATTGAAGCTGAGTCCGACACAGCACAGCAGGGCAGGTTTGCCTCAGCTCTGGTAGCAGAGCTCAGGCATTTCTACAGCCCAGATGAGTCCATTAACCTCTGCTGAAGCTCAGAAGCCCTCAGCTATTATTGCTTTCCTAAACAATGATTTGCTGTGAGCTATCACAAATTGCATGTTTCTGAGAGAGTATTTGGGATGCAGTGATCAGGAGATGTGTTCTCTGCTCCCTTGCAAGGCATGGCTCAGGTAGATAAATGGAATTGACTGATTGGAGAAGAATAATCTTCTCAGCTCCTCTGGCCTTTCTGAGAAGGAGGAAAAGGTTTGCTCGGCTCATCTACACTTCCCTCTTTAATCTCCCTGTGCAATTGTGAATAGCTGCAATATGTCAAAAGCCAGCGTACGCAGCAGCTCAGGTATTAAGTTGGAGGAACATTACATTAGCTTTTTAGCCAATTAACATGGCTGTAGGGAAGACCATCTGGAATAAATCTGCAAAACAAACAGTTCACAGAAACCCAGCAGGCAGCTTTATGGATTGTTATATCTGTACGGTACTTCATTAAAAAATAAACATGTATCTTCTATTTCAAGCACAATGCACAAACAGTATTAAACCAGACCTGATAGGGAACACAGCTGTCTTACTAAATGACACATTTGGAAGAGCTGTGTGAATCACTGCAAGGAAAAGGTTGTGAAAACTCTAGTGACTGCAGTTAGCTATTGGCACAGCCAAGCAACTGCTCCTGAGTTAATGTAGAAATGTATTGTCCTCTTGCTTCGTGGTTGCAAAAGTTTGTTTTGGTAACATTGTTAATATAAGCTACTGATCAGTATGTAGGGAAGGAACAAACCATGCATCACCAAACTGCACTTAAGCAGTCAGCTTTAGCCTGCTTCTGAAACATCATACTTTGCTGTGCTTATATATTTCTCCATTAGAGACCCACAGCAGGAGATGCAAAATTCATTGTCACTAGGTTTATTCCTGCCAAAGGTTTGCTGAACACAGTAGGCTTTATTGTAGAAATGCTGGATGAGGCTAGTATTGATGCTTCAAGAATCAACCATCCACCCTCTTCCTCCTTAACGCCTATTCCATGTTCAGAGGATGCCATGGGATGTACAGACAGAACGGTTAGGATGGACAAAGCTCATCTTTGAAGCCATTGCAGCAAAAAGCACAGAAGATTCCCCCAGCAGACACTGCTCATCTGATGGACACCTCTGCAAGGACTGGTGTGCCAGCAATCAGAGCTCACCACACCTCTGCCCAGCACTGGGAGCAGGCCAGGCATCCACAGAGCTCCTGCACACTGTGGCTCCTGGGAGACCTGTGGCACGGTACAGGGAGCCAGCCAGCTGAGGAATCAGCACTGCTAAGTGTGCCAACACAATCAACAAATATGTGGCTCACAGGAAATGCATATTTTATGTCAGAACAAATGGTATTTCTGTGACCAATTTGCATAAGTATACAGGAAAATGGATTACTTGCCACAAAGCCTCTTCTATTACAAATAGGGTATTTTCAGACTAATCAGATTTTCCTGTTTTCTATACCAAAAAATCTTAGCAATTAGTGTACCAGTTACAATAATATAACTAGCTGCAGAACATTTAAACAGACTTCCATTTACCAAGTGTTGCTCAGATTTGTAAATAGTGGGTTTAGGTAGGAGAGTAAGTTTAAATCTGACCATTTTTAGCTGGTTTAATGCCACCTGATCTTTTCTCCAGAGGAAGAAAAAGCACTAATATGGCTGGGAAGAAAAATGCAACATTTAGCATGGCTCTCCCTAATTAGCCCTGCTGAGAAATCATCCAATGGATCAAAACACCACATACCTGCACCTAGCGTGCTCTGGACATTTAGTTCAGGTATTTTGATGCAGTGGCCCATTGTGCTGTAAAGACAGCATGCAACATAATTATCAGCCTGCTCATGCCATGGTTAATTAGGGAGCTGCTCTGAAGACCAGAGCTTTTGGATATACACAGTGATGACAATTAAAATGTTGGCATTTGTCAACAGTTACTTCACCTCAGGTGCTACCTAACAAGGCACAGCCTGCTGAATGCATGGAACTGAAATAACCATGGTAACTCTGGGTACATGGTGACGTTTTAATATCCACTACTGCCTATCCTCAGGCCACCACTTGCAGAACTAAAGGGCCCATCAAGAAGCAGATGAATAACGTGTCCTCCGTACAATGCATGAAAAATGTTAAGCACTTTTAGGGATTAAAGCCCTTTTCATTTACCTCAGGAGGGAAAAGGGAGAGATAAACATAATACAAAAGCATGTATTATGAAGAAATAATGAAACTACCACGTCCTACTGCAGCAACTGCTACTAAAATGTCAGTATCTACCAATAGCTAGCCCAAATCTGTATCTAAGATACCAAAATTAATTCTTATTTTAAGTGCCTCTTACTACATACTGACTTTATAAATGACAGCAGCAATATCAAAGGTCTTTCATGCTCAGTCACTGCCAAACTGCGGTAGAAAATCTATCTGTTATAAACCACAGCAGCTCTCAAGCAAAGAACGGGATGCACTACCGTACTTTATTAGCACTGTCTTACCATCTGACCTGTTTTTAAATAAAAAGATGGTGGAATCCTCTAACTTATCATTTTTTTGTCATTCTGAAGAAACGTCTGATTTTTTTTCTAAATGCTCAATTCTTGTATTATATTACTTCCTCCATGGTGAGGGAGAGGATTTGAATGTATACTAAAGTATCTGTAAAACTATCTTGTATTTAGAATTTTCACTTACCAAAATGAAGAGACAACCAGAGGCAAGTTTTGTGTGTTCAGGAATAGTAGAAAACACGGACAAAATCAAGCAACCAAACACAAGGAGAAAACTGAAAAAGAAAGAATATTAATAATTGTTAATATGTTACAGTACCCTGACCCAGTATCTATATTGTTTGTACTTCACCAACATTAATAGAAGACTGTCTCTGCACAGTCTTCATTAGTAGAGGGGAACACAGCTACCACTTAACTCAGTTCATTAAAGACATTAGAATGCTATCCTGTTAAATCTATTAAATCTATATGTTTCTAAGCAGCACTGCTAGAATTCAGAGAAAAAAGATTTTCTTGGTAAAATGACCCAATATCCAAAGATGCTACTTTTTGTATCACAGTCCTCTACCTTTATGCAATCCAGATAATTTAAGCATCTTTAAAGAGAGATTTCCAGTGGGAGGGTTGTTTCCCAGGTCTGAAAAATCATTTCTCCCACAGCTGACCGCAAACCCCTGCTGCATAAGTTTACCAAAAGCTAAGTTACATATTGCCCCTGTCTGTCCATCAGAAACAACCTCCTTCTGAGCAACAGACTTAGTGCTCAAACTACCTGAAGTGAGAGGCAGAGCTATGGCATCACTGTCCTCAGTGAACAGGCTCCACTCTGGGAACAAACTCAGTACCATACAATCCACTGAAGAACTTAAAACAATTACACAAGCCACAGGGCAAGCAGTTACAATCAGGAAAACACGAACACAATTTTGAGTTTGCATGAGCCAGTATGTTTCATGATACTGATGAAACACACAGGCAAAAAAATGTAAATCTTTTTGTGAGGAAGATCCAAACAAATGGCATAATTGCAGAAATTCTTGCATATGCCATGTCCAACCCGTAGCAGTCACAGCACATGTGTTTGCAGACATGAGCTGGCAGAACTGGTGTTGGCCTGACACATATGCTGTTGGTGGTAAGGATTATCCTTTCCCCTTGTACTGCTTCACCCACAGTACCACTGTGCTAGTGAAACCATCTGTGAACTGGATGGTTTCACTATCCATGAAACGAAGTTCACTTTACCCACAGTATTATGAACTGACTAATAAGTAATAGCGCCCAGTAATAATTGATTCTACCAATGTTTTGCTAAATTCCCTCTTAAAACACTTATCAGTTGTCACAGACATCTTTCCATTAAAATCCTTTCTTAGGATTTTTCCTGCTGTAGCTGAGAAGTTTCAGCAACACATGTAAACAATTGTTATCTGCTGCTGTGGAATGCAACAGGTCCACCTGTGATTGGCCCCTCTTGGATGTTTACAATTAATGGCCAATCAAGGACTGAGCTCTCTTGGACAGAGTCTGAGAGAGCTCCTTTGTTATCATTCTTTTCTATTCTATTCTTAGCTTAGCCAGCTTCTGAAGAAGCCTTTTCTTTTCTATTTCTTTTTTAGTATAGTCATAATGTTATATATATATATAATATATAATATATATATATTATATAACATATAATAATAAATCAAGCCTTCTGATCATGGAGTCAACATTCTCGCCTCTCTCTCATCCTGAAAACCCCTGTGACCACGGTCACAATCAGTCATGCTGCACATTGAGGCAACCAACAAAGAGCAGGACTTTGACTTTGGTCTGGGACTCCTTAGCTGGTGTTCTAACCCACATGAACAGGTACTGTAATTAATGTAGACACACATCCCTCTGCCCTTATCATGACCCATGAGCCTTTCCTTAGACTTTCTCTCCTCCATCCAGCTGAGGAAGGGGAACTCCAGGGAGGCTTTGGTGGGCACCCAGTGTCCTGCCAGGGTCAATGCACCACACTGTGAAACCTCTGCCCCCAAAGATTGCAGAACGTGGCTGGATAAGGCCATGGTCTGACTTTGAAGTGAGCTCTGCTTTGAGCAGGAGGTTGGACTGGAAGACTCACTGAGGCTTTTTTCAACTTACTTACTTCTGTGTTTCTAACTACTGGATATAGCATTAATATATTATTGCAGTTGATACACACGAGCTTCAGGAGCTATGATTACTTTTTCCCACAGAACATACAGACTTCCCATAGTGATGTAATAGAGGAATGCTACAATATATCCAATACATTACATAAAAATATAATTCTAGTCTTCAGAATTTCTAGTAGAAAATCTCTATCTGCAATGCAATAAGGCTTTGGAGGCATATTTTGTAGCATATCACTTAACTGCTGGGGAGAAGTTCTACTCTGAAAATCAAATATGATAGGTGCTTGCATATAAATTCTATTAAGGACTGTAAATAAAACAGTATCCAGGAGGGTAAAGTGCACATTTGGCACACAGCATTGGCAAGTCTTATCTTCTAGACTAGAGAAAGGTGAAGATCAACACATGCTTCAAGATTTAATAAAAAACTCATACAAGACTCATGCAATCCCAGGCACAAGTACAGGCTGGGAAGACAATGGATCAAAAACAGCCCTGGGGAGAGAGGCTTGGGGATGTTTCTGGACAAAAAGTTCAGCATGCTCACAGCCCAAAAAGTCAACCACATCCTGGGCTGCATCAAGAGTGGCCAGAAGATGAGGAAGGTGATTCCCCCTCTCTGCTCCTGTGAGACTGCACCTGGAGTGCTGCATCCCACCCTGGGGCCCTGAGCATAAGAAAGGCATTGACCTGTTGGGACATCTGCCAGAGGAGAGCCACTAAACTGATCTAAAGTGTTGGACCCGTTCACTTGTGAAGAGAGGCTGAGAGAATCAAGGTTCCCTCCAATCTCCTCAGAAATGAAGGCTCCAGGAAGCCTACCTTAGATCAGCCTTCCATTACCTAAATGGGGCCTGCAGGAAAGCTGGGGAGGGACTTCTCACAGGGGCATGTAGTGATAGGACAAGGGGCAAGTCCTCAACCTGAAGGATGTAAGATTTAGGTTAGATATTAGGAAAAAATTCTTTACTGTGCGGGTGCATTGGAACAGGTTACCCAGAGAACTTGTGGATGCTCCATTCCTGAGCGTGTTCAAGGTCAGGTTGGATGGTGCTCTAAGCAACATGGTCTAGTGGAAGGTTCTCTGCCCATGGCGGGGGGGGGAACTGGATGATCTTAACATCTCTTCCAACTCCAAACCATTCTGTGATTCTATTTTTCTATGATTCTATTTTTCTATGATTATGTGATTGTATGATAAGTGACAAAAATCCATCTTGTGAGCAATTTTTCTCCCCATCATGTCACTTTACAAAAATGGCAAAATCTCATAGAACATTACTGGTAGTTTCAGCTGCTACAGCCTTCAGATGTAATCCCCCTATAATTACATCCTACTGACATAGGCATAAATGTGGTTTCTTCTCATTAAGGCTTGCATAGAGGCAAAATAAAATTAAGTGACTAAGAATTTACAGTAAAAGAATGTAATTTCCTTTTGCTGAATTTCTTTAGACCTGAATCAATTAAAATGACATTTGCTTACTTCCTTTGTGTTTAGGTATTAAAAATTTCTTGTTTGATTTTATTCCTGTAATACCAACTAAATTGGGAGCCCAGTTGTACTGGGTCTTATCCAAACACACAATACCAGTTTTCACTTGGAAGAGATTTCTTATAGCACAATTATGGAAAACAGACACAGCAGGAAAAAATAAAGTTTCTTGTTCCCGTATCACAGTTGGAGTCCATGGCACAGTAAAGGTAAGGGACTTGCCTAAGGCTACACAGAAAGTCTTTACATGTGGAATAAACCTGATCCTTTTAAGTCACAGCCCAATCTTACCCAAAACCATCGTCCATTTACCCACCACTTGCTTTCCACAGTCTGTCAGGATATGATTTAGAATATCACTGTGGGCAAGGTGTTTATTCACAAGAGATGGGAAGAGTGAGTCAGGAGAGGGAATGAGTACAGTTAAGCAGTGTATTAATCAAAATAAAAGCAAATATTCAGGAACGCCAGGTGCAGTGTGGATTAGCACCTGGTTGACATAGTTCTGCAGTTTATCCATGAAAAGCAGAAACAATCCTCACAGCAATACATAAAAACAGTCTCGGAAAGAGAATTTTCCAAAATTCTATAACTCGTGCTCTCAATTTTTCCAGAAACTAAAAAGGCATGGAGCATCATCATTACTAGTACTATTATTGTTGTTATTATTAAAGAACAAAATAAAAATGTTTGTATTTATCCACCCACAAATTCAAATATTGCCCCTCAGTCCCTCATTCCTCCCTCCAACACTGAACACTTCTTTTAGTGCCCCTCAGCACATTATGTCTAAAATTAAACTATAAGCGCTTTTATGGAGGGGAGAAACGCAGTCCTACTAGCCTGGCAAAATGAAAAGCATACATTTAGGTGCTGTAAAACACAACACTAGAAACAAAAGTGGAGTATTTTCCATTGTTTATATATTACAGAAGTGTTTTCCTTCAAAGTAAACTAATAGTGAAGATTCACTTGCTATGTTTTTAGTGCAATCTGTTTACTCAGGCCATGCAAAGGAAAGCACCTCTCCTTTTTCCCAGCTGGAACTGAAGGCATGAAGGCTGCAGCAACAACTTTCACCTGGCTGAATGTTAAATGAGGATCTGTCCAGCAAATAGAAATCCCTGAGGTTCAAACATCACAGTGGTCAAAGTTTATCAGGAATTGTTCTTTCCTTTTGTGAATTATTTCTCCAGTGTCTGATGAAGTGTAGATGATTGCAATAAGCCCTGGATAGTAATTTGATAGCCCTCAATAGAAGAAAAAGTATTTTCCCATGCCATCATTTGAACTGTGCGCTACAATGCATTCTGTACAAGACCATGCTGCTGTAGGTAGAGAGTAGGAAAAAGCAAAACACAGAGCAATTATATTTGGCCTCTAGGGATTCAATCTGGATCATATAATTGTTCAGGCTGAAAAAAACCAGATGGTTTTTCCTCATGCATTCAGTATCAGACAGTAAAACATATGCCTTAGGCAGCAACTTCCCATAAAATTATTCAAGTACTGCCATAGCCTTGTATTTCATGAAAAGCAGTGACTTCCATTTTGTTTCAGCAGTAATCAGTTTTGTTGCAGATCCTTTCATCTTATTCCCCTGCTCCTGAAAGCATATACTAATTGGAGA